AGTACAGAAGCAGTGTTCCGTGTGGCTTAAAGTTTTGCTCTAACGTGACGTCCCCCGTGCTGTGTTTCTAGCACGCAGTTTACTTCTCTCGTGGGCCCCGATGGCGGAGTCTTTGGTCAACATGGAGCTCCTCCCGGACGACGTGCTCATAACCGTCCTGCAGTTCCTGGACGTGGAGGACGTTCTCGCCTGCCGCCTCGTGTGCAAGAGGCTCTGCGGCCTGGCCCTGGACCAGTACGTCTGGCGCCACCGATCGCTCGCCGACGACCACCCACGCGCGGGCGCCGTGCTGCTCCTGGCCCCGTGCCTCAAGATGCTGACGGTGACGGGCCGAGTCCCGACCCTGGCGGCGACGACGACCGGGTGCGCCGTGGAAAGTTTGGAATTGCGCAGCAGGGATGCTGATCCCTTCAGCCCCGCGGAGTACTCCTTGGCGGTGCTCAAGCAGGAAGCCCTCGGGCGCCTCAGGAGACTCAAGGTCGCGGGTATGGACCGTGGTGTGTCCACCGGGCCCGACGTGCTGGCGAGGACGATTGCGTCGTGTTCCGGGCTGGAGTCGCTCGAGGTCCTGGGCTGGCTCCCGGAACTCTCCCGACCCATCGTGCGCGGGCCGTCCGCGCCCTCGCTGACCAGGTTCCACTGCCTGGCCAACGAGCGCGCGGCGTCCTTTGTGTACTCCATACTGGCCTCGCACGCTCCTACCCTGGAGGAGGTTAGCACAGGCACGGACTTCCCCTTCCAGGAGACGGTGACGGCGAAGTTTCTGGCTAAGCTACCGAGACTCCGCAGTCTGCGGTGTGAGAATCCGATTGGGGGGCTAGAGGCCGTAGCTGCGAGCCCGACGCTCTGCGAGGTCAGTTTTGAGCTGTACCCAGAAGATTTAGATCAGTTCAATATATTGCAACAGTTTCTTCACCGAGCCGGCCATCTGCGCAGTGTGCACCTGAGCAACTGCGCGGAAGGCCTCTTCACAGATGTTCTCTTCGCGGAGGTGGTCGAGGCCCTCCTGGCTGGGCCTTCCCGCCACCTGGAGCGGCTGGCCCTGCAAGGGTTTAAGGAAGTGCGCCCGCTGCTCCTGGCGCTGCCCTTGCTGCGCTCCCTGCACCACCTGGACCTGGACGCCGAGCCCGACGAGGACGTGCTGAAGGGCATCACCCCCGCCACGGCCCCGGCCCTGACCCTGCTGGAGCTGGGGCAGCTGCCGGTGGGGCAGTGCCCCCACGCCTGGATGCACGGGCCCGCGGTGCAGGCGATGCTCCGGCAGAACCCCTCTCTGCACATTCTGTTACGGCTCAACACCTTCAGCATCATGTGTGATCCTCTGGACTGCGGCAGCTGCGGCCTCGCCTGCCATCAAGAAGTGAGGTGGGGGTGGGAGGAGGAGAGGAAGGTCTCCATCGGCATCTTCTCCCACGGCCCTGCCCAATGTCCAGCACCTGACGACCACGCTCTTGCCTTCGACTGGCAGAGGGGTGATGATGGCAAAGCTATGGTAACGTGGATCCACATGTGATGTACTTGTGCCCTTGATTGTGGATGTCTCGTACTCTTAGTTTTGTTTCGCAAGACATGTAAAATTGGTCATGTTTACATTTTGTTTGTGTCAGGTTTATTAGACCGTCAATAAACCGTTAATTGTTACTGACTGTAAGTAGTAATGTTCCACAAGACATGTAAAACCTGTCATCTTTAGATTTCTTTTGTGTGTCAGGTTTATTAGACAGTCATTACACTGTAAATTGTTACTGACTGTAAATATAGTTTTGTT